AAATAGGATTAAGTGCTTTCTGTCTGGTCTGGACAATTTCAATCCCTTCTGAAGCAGAACAGAGGTGTCTATCTCCTTCAGTTAAAGTGCTGGGAGACTGAATGAATCCTGTGATGACCTGTGACTATTCATGGTAAAGGATGAGGTCACTAGGAAATATTTTGATTTCCTATTACTGATACAGGAACTTATTTCACAAAACCTGAAATTCATCCAAAGAGGTTCAAATGAATGTCAGTAATTTTTGTCCACTCTTGCATTTAGAATCCAGGTTCAAATCACTTAACTAGCAGTGATTTAGTAATCTAACACATCCAGGGTCATAGTGTAGCTCTGAAACTTAAACTCTGTTGTTTTCTTAGTAAAATTATGATGGGGCAGACAATAAAAGAAAAAAAAAAGAAGAAAAAAACACTCCACAAACAGGTCCTCCTCCAAAGTCTGGCAAGTATATCCCATGAGGAAAACACATTAAACTTGAATTAAAAACTTGTTCATCTCTCAAGTACAATTACCTCTAAAGGTCTCTTTTTCAACAAGGGTGTGGGAAGTGGTTGGGTTTGTAGCACATAAGCCAAAGCCATGAACTGAACATTCTGCCACCTCAAGAGAAGGGAATTAAAACAAGCATACTTCTTGGACAACTTTTTAATTATATTTACTTTGTAATCTTGCAGTGCTAATACTGTAATATTAGTAAGCATCCATGTGATAACACATTTAACTTTCTCATTATTTTCCAGTAAGTAATAATTGAAGGAGCTCTGGTTAAAAGCAAACTCAATAATTACACTGATTACTTGGTGGATTTGAAGAGACTCTGGAGCTGCAGTACACTCTAATATTGTGACAGGAGCTTTTCAGTCTTACAGTTATGGTCATTATTCACAAAGGGAAACAATGGATTCCCAAACCGTTGACAAAGAGAAGCAGTTTGACATAAAATAAACATAAAATAAAAATTATTTTAATTCATTGGGATATATTACAAAGAAAAATAACCAAAATCTACAGCCCTACAAAGCAACAAATTTTAATAAATGGGTACAAGCTGAATAAAAGGAAGAGTAATGACTTGGTTAAACCTCAGAGGGAAGCAATGCCAAAGTCAGGCACCTCAAACAAAGAATGGGTAGATGGACCTGACATATGGGTGCTTTCTTTAGAGGAAGCCTCTGTTTGGAGTGCAAGTCATTCCAGCTAATGGGTAAGTCTTGTCCATTGACAATCACATTAGCCCTTTTTGCTATTTTAGTCAAATAAGGCTAATCATTTAGCGTGCCTAATTTATATAGCCATGAGGGTGGGTTATCAGCACAGATGTACTGAAGCATAAAAGACTTGGGAACACTGACCTATCTGTCAAATTTGATCAAGCCCAGTGAAATTCAATTTGTTAATCTTGCTTCACAATCCTACCCTCATGCACTCTAAACACTAAAACATTTTGTATTGCACTGAGGAACACAGTCTACAGTGAGATTTAGTTGGACTAATCAGACTCACGTATGAGTGATGTTAACAGTTGGAGCAAGGGATATGACTTTTAGAATTAGAAGGCTAAAAGTAGGACTGAAAATCTGTAAATATTGGTAATATGTATTTGCATGCCCAGCTCTTACCTTAGAGTGCAAGACAACAATGTAATACTTTAATAGTAACTGCAGAAAATAAAAGAAATCAGGAACGTTTTCTCATTAAACAGAGAGGATGCTGGTTTTGAGTGTATATATATACATACATACTCAAGCTTCAAAAATTAACCAGGGCCAGATATTCAGCTCTGGACTTCTCACTTCTCTAAAATAGGGATTAATACTAATTTTGTGCCTAAAGCCAAGGTTTCTGAGGTCAAGAGAAGAGCATAGCTCTCCTAGTACCCACCCAAAGGAAACATCTTTTCCATCACCTACCTAAGTTTACCTCAGTCATGAAGTTTAGCCTTGGTCTTTGAATCCAGTACTACCCAGAGATGTCCATGTTTCAGTGAACTGAAATAGCACAAGCTCTTAGCAGTTGATTTTTTGCTGTTTCCAGTTGACTCTAGGAGTGGCTACATTTGTACAGATTATTTTTCCAACATTTGCAAACTATGGCATATGTAAATCTGCAGTTAGAAGAATCTCAGTCCTGGTTTGTTTCATGACACTCATCCAGTTATCCTTCTGAAGGAGTTTTCTACCTTATTTGTTCTCTCAGCATACAGGACAAGAGAACATTCCTGTTTTCCAGTCCCTGCCCAAATTGCAGACAGAAGCTTACTGGATTGAATTAGAGAGAATCAAACTTGAATAATCATTATGGTCCTCAATTTGAGACAAATTGGGATAATAACTGTATCCAAGTATAGACTCCAGCAGATGCATTTGGTCCTTAAATCATACCAGAATATTCAAGAAATAGTTCTGGAACACAAAGAACATCAGCTAGAGGAGAATGACCACAGCAGACTTAACCTGTCTTAAAACATCTTATCTATTTCTAGTTATGAAGAATAATAAATAAATGAATAAGGTAAAACAACCTTCCCAACTAATTGAGCTTTTACTAAGTAAAGGACTAAAACAATATGATTCTTTATTGGTACAGGTAGACACAATTCTGAATCATAGGGAAGTATTCAATTAACATTGATGAGACTTGACAGATGCACTGTCTGGGAAATATCTTGGTTCTCCTCCCATTAGATTTATTTATATAAGCCCATTTTCAATGTTACACTGATTATCAGTGAACATTAGACTAAAAAAGTAGGTAATGTAAAGCCACAAAGTCAACTCTCTTGAAGAGGTTGCCAATCTGCTCATGACCTGCCCATGCACTTTGGAAACAAACTCCACATACCACTGGCATGCCTTTTTGTTTTAGAGCTTGGTCACCAACACCTCTACAGAACAACTGTGAACAGGACCTGCATGCAGCTGGTTCACACAGAACAGCTCTTCCAGCATTTGCTTTGCTTCTCTGTATCATGATAACTCAGTGAGGGAGTTAAAAGTGATGTTGTTTGGAAACCTGGAACAATTTATCATAATTAAATGCTAAAATGTAATGGCACAAACACTCTGAAAAGGGTGTGTGGAAAAGGAAAAGAATATGAGAAACAAACAAACAACATAAAATCTGTCTGCTGACCTCAATTATTTTCCTAGCATGAAACCTAGAAAAAAAAAGTGTATTTCTTAGGCAGTCATATATTGCCATTTAATCAGTTATGCCACATATTATGAGGCTATCTTTCCATAACATGGAAACAACACCCAACACTAAACATCTATTGTCTTTCTCACAACTCTGACGGTTCCTGGAAAAAAATAAGTGTCTAATTTGAAAATCAATTTAAATATAAAAACTCTTTTTTCTTTCTTGAGTTTTCTGAAAAATGGAATCAATCAGTGCATCCATGATATCATCAGTGTGTGCTGAGCTGGGTATAAATCATCACAGAAGAGAGACACTGAGTTCCACATGTATGCAGGTAATTTGTGGACAGAGGTTCCATATCCTCATTAAACAGACATGGCCTTCTATGCTACTTTGGTTACTTTATAGCACTAGCCAGAATCATAATCCAATGTTTGCAGTGGCTAAAAAAACATTATAGTTTCCTAGTTTATGAGTTATGGTTTGGGACTTGTTTTACTTGTTCTCTCCTTAGACATGTAAGGGGAGTTCAATGCTTCCCTGTTTATATGTTATGTGAGGAGTGAAAAAATAAAATCCCAATTATCCTCTGTTGGTTAAAATCTTGTTTGAATAAGGTTTTGCATTCATAAACAGAAGGGAGAAGGAAATATATATCTAATTTTTTCCCTATTTGTCTAGGGCTTGTTCCATTGATGTGAAAAGTTATTTGTGTAGTTACATCTATCATGTATTGACATTCACAATTAGCAGTCTGTTAAAGCTTACACATTTAGAATGAAGCGAAGACTCATATGTGGGTGAGAAAAAAACCCAAAACCTTGGAGATTCTTTAAACTAAAAATCCTGGATAACGACTTCCAGACTAATCACAGCTGGCCAGGTGGTGAGGTTTGAAGCTCCACATTAGTCTCTGGATAGAAAGCTCCAGTGGAAGAGCAGGAAGAAGATGAGGAAGAAGCAAAACTGCAGCAACAAGAGGCTGATGTCATCATCATCATCATTAGGGAAGAAGGCACAGCATGGGTGTCACTATTTAGATTTCTAAAGCTTTGCTGAATTCTTTCCCATTGTGCACAGGTGAGAACATGGCCCTACCCAGACACTCCTTTTAGGAGCTGACACTGAACGTGTGTGAGCACAAACCCCAAGGCTACCGAGGCCTAACCACAGAAATTAACTTCTCTTCTTGAATGCTGTAATGTTGAGAGAAGATCTTTTAATTGCCTTACCATGAGAGCACCAAAAGACAGCAAATCCTGTCTTGCATCATAAGCCTTTCCAGTGGACAGCTGGGTAAAACACAGTTCTTAGCTCCACTTCTGGATATAAATGTCGACAAAAAGATACACATTCTAACTCATTAGGCTGTGAAGATAATTGTTAGGCAAACTATTTTGAATATATACATCATAAAGAAAATTATGTATATTTTTATATATACACACACATTTTTATATACCTATGTGGGCTTGTGTGTGTAAAATACAGATATATACTACCCAGCTAACCAGAAGGCTCGGTGAAAACTGTTTTTAAAGCACACTGAAATAAAAAACTAACATATACAGTATGGAATGTTACCACATGGCTGAAGATGTGTTTAAGTTACCATACAGCATTAAAGCAAAATAAATCTCTCTTACTTCAATATTCACGTGTCTGAGGGGGAATTGCAGGCTTTCTTCCTTTATTTTACTTTCAATTTTCTTCACTTAACTATTGAACCAGAGTGTCAATAGTGAAATCTGTGTGTCAGAGAACTTGATAAATTCAGAATAATTATTAAAAAGTAAAAAAAAGAGAAACATACTTAATCTCAAAATAATATGGTGTAAAATAAAGCATTATTATACCTGCAATGATGTCATCCATCTGCTCCAAAGCTGCCTCCAGCATATGACTCGCGTCAGAAGCCATCATCTGGGATTTCTTCAGATCTCTACTCTTTCTACTGAAAAGACAGATGAAACCATGTGTATTACACGAAATAACCTGACAGAAAAATATGTCACTGTTACGTTATAAATCAAGCCACAGAAACACAAGTCCATGCTAGCAAAAATAAAGCCTAGTAAGAAGAAAACTAACAATAAACCTGTTCCTATTCTTGATAGATGATTTGGGATTTCTGAGGTTTTAATTAATCATTGATTCATTTTTTGAAGAGACTTTACTAAAACAAGGAAAAGAAAACTAAACAACCTCAAATACTGGAAGCTTGAGATGCCCCTACTCCTCATCCTTAACTATGGCTTCCTAGATTCAAATTCAGTGCATCTCAACCTTTTGCTCTGTGGGGAAAAAAAGTAGATTGACTAGGGTTCAATAAAGGAATGGAGACATAAACAAAACTATAAACAAAACTCCCCCTTTTTGATTGCTGCCTTAAGAGTAAAGACAATTCTGAAAGTTTTTACTCCTCCTTTCTATATCCCTATTCAATCTTTCCACCACTTCTTTCATGACACTGAAAATACAATTCTTTCTGTTCAAATAACAAAGATGCCCCAGGTATGAATTGTCTGAAGTTACTGCTGTCTCTTTAAAACAGGATTAAATACATTCATGTTACCGTCTGACATTAAGGATAACAAACAAAATCTTCCAAAATGAGTCTCTACTTGTGAGTTGGTGTTGCTGGACTCTTAGACAAGTAGCAGTCACTGTTGTCAACATATGACATTTCAAAGGGGAAAATAATTTATGCAGCCCATTTCACTGCCAGTGAGAAAATTCCCTGTGAAATAAGGCCCTTTTGCACGTCATTTCATTGTTGAAGCATGAGACCAGTGCCCACACAGTGAGGAACATACTTATGCATGACTTTCACAGTGCTCTAACACACAACTCAAAATACTGACAAAGCCTACAAAGGGTCACAGTATTTTCATTTCTCTTCCATGAAGGGTGCAATTCAGCCTTTTGACATTCAGTCTTCTGACACAGCAAGTTTTAAGATCTGTATTTAAAAACTGTTCAATTTTGACAGCTTTCTAAGCCTCACAAAAGACATCTGTCTGACAATGGATAGACATGTCCTTCAAATGACTCAGGTTGTAGGTAAGTGCATAGGCAATGGCCCTATGTTTGTGGGGCCTATTTGTCCAGTGCTACTGAAATGCCATTAATCTGTATTTATTGTGTCATTACTTACACTAAGAAATCAAGTATTTTGAATTTAAATAAATATTACAATAATCTTTAATGGCAATTCACATAGACTTGCACTGTGTTCATTCAGTGACAGTTCAGGCACTGGCCACCAAGGCCAATTGCATGACTGGTAGCTAAACCACTCACATTTATTCTCTCAGCTGCAGCCTGACTAAACACTGGAATGTAGAATCAGCACCCAGGATAGTTAGCTTTAAAATAAAATCTTAATAATTTTTTCTTTCAGTGGGACTGTCGGGGCAAAAAAAACAATCTCTAAAAGTACACTTATGACTGACTCCAAATTACTGCATCACAACTGATATTCAGTCTCAGTAATAAGCCTGATTCAATGAAAATTTGTACTATCAAGTCAAAATTATTTTCTTCTCTTGCAAACTAAGAATCCTGAGACACAGACTTTTCTCCATAGTCCTGGTGAATTATACACAAAGAAAGCTAATTTATTAGTAACCTCTGTATTATCAGTGCCCTATGTCCATGCCAGTCAATGTATATAACCCCACTATCTAGAGAGACAGATGCAGGAATGAGTCATAAACTACAACGTTCTAATTTGAACTCTGCCATTTATAGCTTGTCATAATGGGTAAGCCATTATCTAACTTCAGATCACATTGATCTGAAGAGCAATGTGAGAATGTGTTATCTTTAGTGTCACCCAAGGCAAAGATTAATGTAAATGAATGGTTGTTTATGGACTTTCCCTTTTTTGTCAAAATAATCTTTTAAGTAAGAACAATGCTAAATGTAACTAAACTTTACCAAAATACATGTCACACAAATATTTCATTTAATGGTACTGGAAATAACAAAAATTGTGCACAGAATAACTGGAAAGTCAGCTGATATAAACTTAAAATTTCAGATCCCTTGCACACATGAACTTTACAGACACTCCCTCTGATTCTGTTTCTCCAGTTAGTTGGTTCGGGGAGATTTCCATCTTCTGTTACCACATTTACATGCCACTAAAGACTTGAGAGATCCCCGATTCTCCACTGCAGAGAGCTTCCTTGCTTGCAGTATTTCCTCTAGTTCAAAGCAGCCATAACATCAGTAATAATCACCTTAGTGAAAGGAAATCCACCCACATGAGCAGCTGCCAGAGAGGCACCAAGGATACCCTGTGCCTTTGGCGGATGTGGCCACCAGCCACTCCCCCAGAAATGTATGGCCACCAGCTGTGCTGGTAAATCAGGACAGCAGACTGGCTCAAAATCAGAAGGAGGAAAAAGAGTGAAAAATACTAAAAATAGCATAGAGTTTCTATTTCTAGATTGCAGTCCATACCCTTCTTTGCGCTGTAGGCTACTTCTCCACGGGCTTAAAGCAGCTAAAACACAGCTGTTGTTACAACAATAAATGCAGAACTACCATTTTTCTGAACATCTAATATTTTTATATCTACTATTTGACCACCTGTAGTGACAAAGGTACAGAAAATGCTGATACACTCCATCACAAATGTGAAAATTTACTTATAGAAAAACCTTCCATCAAGACCTTGGCAAAATCCAGGATGTTTTGCTGAAAAACACCACCAGAAGTAAGTCTTCTATCTCCTCCCAGCCTCCACACTCAGCCTGTTTTCTCACCTGTACCCACAGTGTATTTGCTGCTTAACTGCACTAAGGTAAAGTAAAACCTGCTTACCAAACAACGATTTATTAATAAAAGCAATGTTCTTTGCTCCATAGCGATAATGTAATATTACTTGCTTGACATCTTTTTCTAGACAGACCTGTTGCTTGTGCTTCAGGCAAGTCTTACTTTCCCAGACACTCCCTTCTTACAGCCGGACTGTTCTGAGCAATACTGTGAAAACAGCTCACTAGATCTCCTGTGTTTTCAGTTACCATTTCTCATCTAGTTCTATACAAATACCTGTAATTATGGATTCTTTTTCTAATACTATTAAATAATAAGACACCTGTATCAATCCCTCAAATAGGATTCATCTATTTGCTGGTATTTTAATCACAGTTCCTTTTACAGTTTTCATTCCTGAATGACATCAACAGATGCAGAACATGAAGACTTACTTAATTATGTAAAAATATACATATATTTCGGAAAAAAAGGTTTTTTCAGCTTTGCTAAGGACTGAACAAAACCTATCCCTAATATTATAGTACAAGCTTTAATATTAGCAAATTCTAACCTTCAGGACTTAGTAGATTAATTTATATGCCAGCAAAATACAAGAACCAATCCACTCACCTTTTGAGGTCCCTAAGAAGAAAAGAATTTACTTTTTTGCCTGATCAGTTAAAATTCCTCACTATTAATAGCCAAAGTTTTACTATTAAGCAGACACAAGTCTAAATTATTACCAACCCTTCTAAGCCACACGCTCATACTAATTTAGAGCCCAGCCCACAGAGATATTGCAACCCTGTTTGTTATAATTACCTAAGTAATGAGATCTTCCAGGAAGTGCAGACAGAGCAAACTGGTCTGAATCTCTTAAATTTATTTTGTTAAGCTAGTTTTACCCTATAAGTCTCAGTCTGAGATTTGCATTTCAAATAAAATGAAAAAGCTCTGGCAGAACTATTGTGCTTAGAGTCAACATCCCTTGCAAATTTCTTAACCTACATTCTGTATGTAAAACTACAGCTTACTGTGTCCAAAAAAACCATAATATTTAACAGACGTATTGACTATGAACAAGATGTTCTTCAGAATTATGGAAAGCTTTAATTAAATTTGAATCTTTTACGGCTGGCTTGAACCAGCAGCTATCCAGAGGTAAGAATGTTAACATTTAGGCAACTCAGATGTTTTCCCAAGGTTGCTCCTAAAAATAAGGTTGCCAATACTATCAGTTATGGAGAGGGATGTGTTTTTTGACAAGAACTCCAGAAATCCAGATCTTTGGATCTCGTCTGTGGCCTACAAATTCCTCTGCCGTTTAGCAGACATAGCTAACAATTAACTACCACCAGTATTTTTTTTCCCTGGGATGAATAAATACATGTTTGTAAACTGTTTAAATACTCAAATTCAAGCATTACACTGCTTTGTACCTAATGGTATAATGAAATAACGAGTGCCTCGGGTAAGCTTCAGAAGTCCCCCACGCCCTTCTTCAACTGCAAGACGACTCCTGCCCTGGAAGGAAGAAATGTGCACAATTTCCACCCTCGCTATTTCCCACCTTGCTTCTCCCCCAGCCACATGCTCTGTTGTATCCAGACACCCCACAGGAGCACAACTGCTGATTCATGTCTCCCACTGGCTCCGCAGGACTCAGGACACCGTCAACTACAAAAGCTATAAATGCATATTTGCATCCTGGCCTTTTAGAACCTGCCATAACTCTCTAATTAAGATAATCCTTAGTCCTAAATAACCATACACAGCTGCTGGGAGCAGAAGAATTCCTGATGATCACTAGAATGACTGCCTAAGGAACACTACTTATACAGGATGCTCCAGGGCTACCCAGTCAGAAATCCTATTTCTCTGACAGGCTGAGAGAGTTGGAGCTGTTCAGCCTGGAGAAGAAAAGGCTTCAGGGAGACCCTCCAGCAGCCTTCCAGTACTTAAAGGGGGGGCTACAAAAGAGCTGGAGAGGGACTTTTTGCAAAGGCATGTAATGACAGGACAAGGGGTAATGGCCTTAATCTAAAGAAGAGTAGGTTTAGATTAGATATTAGGAAGAAATACTTTAATTGTGAGGGTGGTGTGGCACTGGAACAGGTCACCCAGAGATGCTGTGGATGCCCCATCCCTGGAAGTGTTCAAGGCCAAGCTGGATGGGACTTGGTCTAGTGGAAGGTGTCCCTGCCCACGGTAGGGGGATTGGAATTAGACGATCTTTAACATCCCTTCCAATCCCAACCATTCTATAATTCTCTGATTATGGTTCAAATTCATTTTATTTCTTAATACAGGCACTACTTGCTCTATTTCCCCTTCATATGCTTCACTGGAATAGGCAGAAGGGTAACAAAATTCTTTCACTGATTACCCATTACGTAATAAGTAAAAAGAAGACTATTTTTATTTTCAGCAAGAAAGTATGAAGTGTCCACACTAAGGCAGAGGGGAAAGTTTCATAGAGAAATACAGATTAGCCAAAGTTGAACAAAGACCTGATACTGAACTATTTCAGGTAGAACTGCTAAACTCTCTGGTCAGTGTATTGCTGGGAGTCCTTACATGAAGGGACATCCTTAGGTGAAGCACAGTGCAATACCTCCATGATGAAAACCAGTTAACTTAATAAGCTAAAGTGGCTTATACAGGCAGCTGGGTATTACCCTGGCACTGTAAAACCACCACCTTTGTGCGCTACTGATAAAAGTTAGTGACAAGCACTAAGAACTATGATGCTTCTAAACATATTATGCTAAATAATTTGATTTAAGATACAAAGGGAACTGAATGTAGTTAAATTTACTGCACTATGAAGTACCAAAGGCAAAGCTGAACATTTCTTTTCAAAAATAAACCCATTAAGTTTGCTAATACAAGTCTGAAATTCGGGAGAAGGAAAAGAGAAAGCACCCTTTAAAAAATGCTAAATCTGACTGATACTTTATGATGCTTTTAAGAACACAAATCACCTCACAGCAGCTCCTCCACAGGACTCATGGATATTGAGTTACAGTTACTATTGGTACCATACCCAAATTTCATTACTCATGTTTGTACAAAGTCTCATCCTTACATATAAAAGCTGACATTGACAGAATGGCATGTGCAAAGTGAGCTTCCTTCAGCTCCTCTCTATAACAGTTCTAGTAACTGAGAACCCTGCATTCCTTCAGTGTTGTTTTAAGCATTGTTCATAAAAGCTTAATAAAATCCTTCTTAATTTAATTTTAAATGATCAGATATTTTAAGTTTTCGGTGTTATACATGATATAAAGGAAAATGTTACAGCTTCCAACTTTGCAAATCTTCATTCATTATTTGTTACTGTATTAGGTGAAAAAATACCCTAATTATTTTAGTTCAATACTCATCTAACTACTTCCAAGTGCTAACTAGTTCAAATTAAAAAAAAAAAAAAAAACAACAACCCCACAATGAATAAATGCTTTGGATTTAAACTTCTGCTGAACAAAGCATTACCTGGTAAAATACATGAAAGTTTCTGAAGCAAAATGTGAACATTTCTGCTTTTAAAATAAACACAAATGTGAATGGTAAACAAAAGTCAGATTTTGTATTACAGTTTGCATTTAGTTCTAAGAGTTTTAGAATTAGAAAGAGTTGGATCCTCAAAATTCTGACATTTAAAATAAACTATGTTTATCTCTTTTTTTTTCCAGTCTCAGGTATTCACCGGTCTCAAGGTCACAGCTTCAAATTTTCTTCCATGAAGGTCAGCATTTCAACTAGATCTTTGAAGCTACTTAACTCCAGATCCAATGCCTGGGAAGCTGCACACACCACACCTTCCCCCCACCCTCGCCCCATGAAAGTAAATTCATGCTCTAGAAAATTGAAAGGTGAGAAGTTATAATAAAAGTAAACACAGAATTCATGCACAAATTAACTCTTTGCCCTGCAGTAAAGCAGAGGACAAACCCCTTGACAGAAATTAAGAGACATCAGATATAAATTATTAGCAGAAGTTTTCAAAGCTATCCTCTATCGAAATCATACAAAATTAGACAAGCTATACTGCTGGAAAGAACACTCTAAACCTTGAGAATTAGGAATAATATTTCTTATGGTTCATAAATTGTTCTTGGGCTTTTTTCAAAACTCTCTGAGGTAAAGTCTGGCCAGGACAACTGGATCAGGTCAGTTCCTTATGGAAAATCCTACTGTCCAATTTTTATTTGGCTTTGTGCATTTCAGTAAGTTGTGTAAATGGAAATAAGTTGATTAGAGGGAAGGAGCACCTCTCCTATGAGGAAAGGCTGAGAGAATTGGGGTTGGTCAGCCTGGGAAAGAGAAGCTTTGGGGAGACCTAATTGCAGCCTTCCAGTACATGAAGGGAGCTGACAAGGAAGATGGGGAGAGACATTTTACAAGAGCATGTAGTGACAGGACAAGGGGGAATGGATTCAGACTGAAAGACAGTAGGTTTATATTAGATACTAGGAAGAAATTCTTTACTGTGAGGGTGGTGAGGCACTGGAATGGGTTGACCAGAGAAGTAGTGGATGTCCCAACCCTGGAAGTGTTCAAGGCCAGGATGCATAGGGCTCTGAGCAACCTGGTCTAATGAAAAGTGTCCCTGACCCTGGCAGGGAACTGGAACTAGATTATTTTTGAGGTCCCTTCCAACTTCTATGATTCAGAAACAACTCAGCAGAACAAGCACTACTACTAACTTAGTTTATTAATCTAAGTACACATGTATAAATCCCACTAGGGATATAGAAGTGTACATAAGCTCTGTGAAACAGATTTTGCACTAAATTCTGCAAGTACCTTTTGGAATATTAGTCTGAAAAGGCAAGATGCTTCATTGAAGGAAGCCAGTGCCAACGTAAGGTCAGAAGATCTGATATCTCAAAGAAATGTAAGGAGGTCCAATTTTCAAATCTTCTCCATTTCTTCAGTTCCTTGATGTACACAGAGGATCACTGTAAAAATCAGCTGCTTTGCCAACAAAGAGCAAACACTCCTCAGCCAGTTGGCATGGTCTACAGAGCCCATGCTGTCCTTGGTCCTAGTGCCTCGACCTCTCATTTATTATTGCCTGCAATGTAATCAAGACAGGTATCCATCAACTTCACATGACTCAGAGGCAGAAACAGCTCTGTATTTTTGGAACTCTTACAACACCATAAGAACAGTCATGCTCGTTCAGACCAAAAGCCTGTCTGGCCTAGTGCTTTGTCTCCAGTGATGTTCAGTGCAACACAAGCTACACAGTGATCAGTCTCCTGCTCTTTTCCAATAACCAGTAAGCCCAAGACTTTATGAAACACAGACTGGATAGGAACTACAATGTTTCACAGGTGTTGAAGATTTATCTCATTTCTCTTCAAAGAATTTTTCTATAATTTTTCAGTGAATGCTATGACATTACAAAAAAAAAAAGACAAACAAAACCACAAAACTGCATTCTAGGTTAGACTGCACAGAGAAACAATTCCACCTAGACACAATGAAGAGAGACATTTCTTGTAATTATTTCTTATTATGAAATGGTCTGCTCTTGGGTTACTCAGATTATAAAGTTCAGTATCAACTTTACAAATACGATGTGAAGGCTTTTGTAAAGTCTAAACTCAGCTTCAGACATAAGGCTTAAAAATGAATACTGTAAAGACAACTTTTTGACTTTGTAAAGTATATTTTTATATCAGTATTTTTCCCTCTTTGAAACATTCTATGCAGCAATTTATAAATAACTGGAAACATCACTAGACTGGTTTAATATTACCCATCCTGCATTGTGAATACAAATATGCTGAATTCATACTAACAGGAACTGACAATATCAAGTACTTCTGTATAAACTGGAAGCTTCAGTAGCTATTTTGAGGAAAGTGTCTGTGGGAAACAAAGAGAAGAAAAATATACTTCTTCTAGAAACAGCAAATTCAACAAAATTCAATCTGCTTGGATTAAAAGCATTAAACTAGGAACAACAAGTGGATCACTGTGAAAGCACCACATTACTCAACATATCAATGAAAATATAAATTTTAACAGCTGTGTCAGTTTAACGCATGGGCTTATAAACAAAACATTCTTATACTGATTGCTTTCTGAAGATTAATGAAAATGTCTTTCTAAAAGGCCATCTTCAAGGTTTTCCTCTTTCTCTGCCTAAGGAATAGGTATAACTGTTGTGCCGAAATAGGTTCTTTCACCCTGTGTGCAAGAGGCCAATCTACACACAGAGTTGAGACATCTGATTTATTCACAGTTCTGTGTAGAAAGGGATGTTGGGTGCCAAATCCACAAAGCCAGCACAACGAGTACCAAAACTTTTCACTATTCATACATCTTAGCAAACAGAGGCATTAATGTTCATGGGCTACAAGTCACCTAGTCCTTTTAATAATGAGGGTTCTATCTTCTATTGGTTAATGATTCCACATTCCTTCTCTTCTTTTGAGTCACTGGGTTTCTTGGGTCATGGTCTGTGAACCGGTGGTCCTGATCTCTCCCTGCCAAAATTACCTTTTACCCAGCCGGAGCTGATTTCAGCACAATTGCTGGGTTGGCTTTGTAAGTTTCTTCCTTATCTTGGGAGTTCTGATGAAAGTCTTTGTGGCTTGTAAATTCTGTATTTTTTGTGTCCACTATCAGTAGCACATCCTTCTTCCCAAGCTCAGATCCCTAGGCCTGAGATCACTGAACCATGGCAAGCCCTAAATTTTAACAAGACAATTCTACTGATGAATAATTTATCTTTTTAACATCTGGACATCATAACCAAAAGGCAACAATTCTTCATGTCAAGTTAAAACTTGATCTAAAATGATAAATCTTATTGATTTTGCTCCTCCATTATTCAGAACTACTTGCAGAACTAGCCAACACTAAGGAAGTAGCTGTACCAAATACTGTGCCACAGCCAAATTCTAAATCAGAGGATGATATAGTCTCCTCCCATACTTACTTTCCATAGTTAGTGGAGTTACATAATTTCATAACTTTTTAAAAAAGCGTTATACAGAGAGGTAATGCTGCAAGACAGACAGAACAGTAACTCGATATCCAAGAGCAACATTTAATACTTTTAAGATTCCAATAAGTGAGAGAAACTTGTAATATCTCCCAGTTGAAGAAACATTATTACAGGTGGCAAGAATAATTCACTGTCCTTCATCCTTGTTCTTCCAGTGGATCCTAGAAGAAAAACGAATACCAAGATGCCTAGAGACAGATCAAGCATGCACTGAAACCAGAAGCTGACTTTAGAGGGAACACACAATGAATGCAGCCCACAATGAATGTGTGACAAGATATATAGGTCTCCTCAATGACCTATTCTATAGAGGAGCTGTATTTGCTCACTGAAACACATGTTTACCTAGCAAAGGATCTTAAACAGAATCACCTCACTGAAAACCCACTCAAGGGCTCAGTTTTTTTATTTCACATTCATCTATGTGCACTGTTATTGTTTTGGTTCCATCACCACAACTGAAACAAGCAGGTTAGGTAATTAAAAAAAATAAGGTAATTGTATACCCAGTTTTGAGTATCTGGTAAAAACTTTTCATACACTTAAAAGAGTTCTGAAGTGCTCAGCATGCTGCTTCCATATAGTAGATACATCCAATGGCAAAGGATGCAAAAGAGATCCTCAAACTCTACTGTTATATATAGCACCTTTTAGTACCAACCATGGTAGGTGTTCTCAAGTTCTTACCACCCACAAAGCCCATCATGCCATTTCTGCCAACCATTTCAAGGCATTTATTATCAGTTCTATAAAAATGTAAAATGAGTAAGTTTCCATGTCAAATCACGTTATCAAGGGTAAGCAAAATCAACATATATATATATTTCTCCTTATAAATTATACATGATATGAAGGACTGGGAAAGAGATAAGAAAAAATCACAGCCACAGTTCCACACCTCAGAATGCCTATTTGAATTTGCAAAACTTTAAAATTATGTGTCATTTCCAGATAGAGACTAATTGCTCAGTAAAACTGGTTCCCCATATGAGTCTCTAAAGCTACCATATTCCAGTTCAGTCAGTTTAGCTTACAGTTTTTCCACACTTGATGCAGAAAGCTTTTGGAAGTTTTCCAAATTAAAAAATGCCTTTCTCAACATGAACTGAATGCAAGAATTGAACCTAGAAGCAGACTTATTCATAACCTCGGTATTCTTCTAGGTTTTATATACATATTTATAATTTGAAGTTCAGGATGCTGTCAGCATAATTCATCACTGGGGTATATATAAAGGATCCCTTTTGTTTCTTTTAATAGTGAATCCCCATTATGGCATGAAAAACAGAAAAGTTAAGCTATCATAATGAACATACATAGGATTTCTTTAGATTCCTTTCTAGATAAGTATTTTGACTACTTGAACATAAGCAATGACCCAAAAGTATCTGCCAAAAAATAAAACTGTAGCCTAAAATTGATGCTACTATGTGTTACTTCCAGTCCAAAGTAAAACTCTTTCATATTATTGAAATAAAAAGAAAAATTGAAGTTGTTACTGCAAGTGCTACAGTATAGAAGCACCTGAAGCAGTATATTGTTATAAAGTTAGTCAGATTTTTACTGGTTCTGAAATAAATGGACCTTTGTACTGGGATAGAAACAGAATTCTTATATTACTTTAAGGGGCCCAAATGTCATTATAGCAAGGCCAGAAGCTGTAAAACACACTGTCAAAACCAGCAATGACACCTGAGGGCATACTGAGTGTCAGGCTTTTACACATCCTGTTTTACTTCAGAGTATTTCATGTTAAGACTCAGAGCAACTGAGTCTTGGAACTGTTTGAAAGTCCTCCTACTCATAT